TATAGTTGTTAACAATAGTGGGAACACAATGATTGTTAATGCTACTAGTGCCCTTACTAAAACAACCAAAAATTTGAGCCTCGCGCTAGTCATTTCATATGAATTAGGTCAACCACATATCAATACTCGTCATTTATAAATGCATGGTCCCTAAGAAAATGAATGGTTATGAGAATTAGATTCAACATGAAGTCTGAACTACAACCACTTCTTATCCTATTTGTTAAACTCTAGCGCTATAATGGAGATGTGATTCAATATAATTGAGGAAAAGTCTATACATGCAATTTTAAAAAAAAAAACATAAAGCTTCACCCTGTCAAACCACAAGAGAATGAGGATACATTTCTCCTGCATGAAACCTATTCCGACCTATTCCGACCTGAAACACATAATGATGAATAGGTAGAAAAATAAACTTGAACTAATAATTATTAACAAGCCCCATTTCCCCATACTAAGTTCAAATATTACCAGGATCCATCCTTAACACTTAAGCTTCAAAAGTAAGAGGAAAGAAATAAGCTTTGACTCCACACTACACTTACTATATGTTAAGAAGATTACCACCACCTCTTCAATAAATCATAGATATATTGTGGTCTCTAATGTCTCATTTATTTATTTATGATTTGACCGCTAAAGAATCACCTGATGAGCGGTCCCCAATAAGAGTCAATAAGCATGTCATTAATCTCACTGAGGTTCGCAATTGCCCAACTTCTCCCACAATAAGATTAACCCTAATAAATAGGCAAAACCACAACATAAAAAAATTTAAAATAAAATAAAATAAAAACTACCCTTCTTATAAAGGGCATCTTAAAAGACAATATATCAATATATTATTCCCGCTCTTCTAGTACTAAAAAAATATAACACTTAGAGAATATACATAAAGCTAAATCAAAAAATAAGATCATTATCAAGTATATGTTCACAATCCCTAGACTTAATGACATGTTCAATCTTACATCTGATTCGATTATTGTCTTCATAATAAATCATAGTAGCTAACATCAAATTATGATCAAGGCCGATAATGAAGAAGCCTATTTTAAATCCACCAAATGAAATATATAAATGATTAGTTATGTCATTTTGATTGTCCAATGCTCACATTACCTACATAATATTGATGACTCTAAAATATTCAAACTATTCATAGAAAAACTATACTCCTACAGATATACTCTAACCTAATCTTACTAAACTCAATCATGGATGGAAAAACACCAAAATTTTTCATCAATGTTGGTAGTTTTCAAAGGCTGGCCACTTTTATGGAAGATTTATCAAGGATCATAGCAATATCATAAAACAATCATATACATTCATCAAATTTATAAATTATTATATAAAATGAATGTAACCAAAGTTTTTGACAAAATAAAAATCATGATCTCTTCGCCCATATCCTTCAAATAAAATAAATAACCCAATATTTATTTTAATGAAATATTGAATGATGATAGATAGCACCAATGTTATCAAGGCACAAAACACAATGCGATGAGCAAGACTTTAATTTTGCTTTAAAGCGTAAAGTGATACAGCGCTTTTATTAACTAAAGCACTAATAGATTATATAAAATTATTAATATACAAATATCTTCATTAGCAAATATAAAATATAAAATGACTTAAAAATTAATAAAAAAATAGAAAAAAATGTGGTGCAATATCTAACTTGAAGTCAAATATTGAGTGCAAACATGCAAATTAAAATATCAAACAATTTTTAATAGTTTGTTGCGATAATTATAAATTTAAAAATTACAAAAAGATTCTTATGACTCAAAACAAAATTTAAATTTTAAAGCATAAATAAACTAAGTCTCAAGTTTCATTAAAAAAAAAACTAAATAATTCAGTAACCACTTATTCCCTCTACCTAAATTGTGAATCATAACGACCACTTTATTTAGCGCTTCAAAGCACGCATCAGCGAAGTGCGTGCGCTTCTCTTCATTTTGCACGTGAAGCGCATTTTAAAAATATTAGTCAACACCACACCATTTTTTTAATAAGGAATGCTATGACACCATCCAATCCCTAAAAAATTGGAGGCATTATCTATTATAATGATTGTACCAAATTCTGACAAGTATGCCCTTAAACTTATAAATAACTACAAAAAATTTAATCATAGGCATTCAAATTGTATAGAATTTCTCCAAAACTAGTCATTTATTTTGAAACATAAATGGGACAGCGAATACAAAAAAGTTGATGCCCTATTCTGAGTTGCCTTAGTCATCTCTTCCTTATAGAATAATTAATTGTCGGCTTTTCTATGGGAATAGTGGAACTGTCTGAAAATAATAAAATTGTTGAACTAGCAGAAACAATAATTTGAACTATCAACCTAACAACGACTTAGAAATGAATTTTTAGATGAAGTTTTGGGCATTTGATCGTGCTAGAGCAGTGAAAATCAAGAGCTTCGATGACAACCTACTAGAACTAATGTGTGATGGAAGACCTACTGTTAAAACACTTCTAACCTTATATCAGGATTAAAATCATTGATAAATCTGATAGGCAATCGACAGTCATCCTCTGAATTCTCACACCCTATTATTATTTCCTTCGACCGATTAATAATCAAAACCTAATTTAGAGCATTTCTTAGAATTTATTTAGAAGAGCCTTGGTATAATATCTCCCATGGTAAAGTGGCAAACACTTCCACCTTAATTTCTTTTATCTCTACCCAAGTAGAGAAGTGAATAGCTCTCTTCAACTTTAAATTATGAAAGATGGTATCTCATTGTTGTATATATGATTTGGACAACTTAATCTTGGCGAATTTGACACACTGCATGTCATTTATTATGTGCCAAGCAAATGTTGTTCATGTTAGACTCCAAATCTCTGTAAGCATTAGGGTAACGAAAATCGTCAAATGTGAAAAGATTGACCTTGATCTTTGAGTATAATTAGGAAGGTTGTCATTTAGACAATCATTATGAACATCAAGGGCTCCAAGAGGGTTCATCCACACTGTTTTTGGTCCTCTCCAAATTAAGAGTGAGCCTGATAAAAAAAAACTTATAATAAAGTTGATCAGTGAGGATCAATCTTCTAGTCTAGGCAGTGTTAGCATATTTTATTGACTGGTCCAGATCTTTAAATAACTCGTCAAGATTTTTAGTATAAATTATAATGTTACTCTGAAAAATGCTGCCCCATTAACACCTATTTGTGTATTTCAGTTTAATATCATCTGTTCCAAGGCGGCCATGTTATTCTCCAGCATATTTTATTGACTAGTCCACATCTTTAAATAGCTCATCAAGACATTTGGAATAAATAATGATGTTACCCTACGAAATGATGCCCCATTAGCACCAATTTGTGTCTTTAAGTTTATTATCATCTGTTCCAAAGGCGGACATATTAGTCTCTAGCCAAATGATGCTTCAGCATCGGTTCATTTCTTAAGATGAAGCTCGCTTATCATTACCAATGCTAGTTAAATTTATAATTTTAGGAAAGATACTCATCAAAATTGTTTTTAACTTATTTAATATGTGCGTCAACCTTGCAAATAAAAACGATGCCATATACAAGTGCAGCTTAAAAAAATATATAAATGATATGCAAACATACTTACATGACACAATTATTAGTAGATATCATCACAAAATTATCAAAATTACTTTGATTATAAAGTCAGTTTTAGTTCTCCATGCATGCAAAAACAATTCAATTGAAGATCATCGCAATAATCAAAATAGTTTAATAGATCACTCAATTTACTTACATTTAAGAGTAAGGTAATTTGCAAGACTAAGAATTAAATTCTTACAGGAGAAAAACTAATCAATTATTTATGCAGATTTCTAAGATATGCCACATAAATGTAATTATCCTAATATCAGCTGAGATTATAACATAATTATAGTAGGGTCCAACGTCAAAAACTTAGATATTCTTTAAGGAAATTCATCTATAATTCTTCATGATATGAAGGTTGACATCGAATAGTTGGTGATGACATCGAGTGCTGTCAGAGGCAAGTCAATGAGTGATCAAGGCGATAAGTACAAGGCATGTGTGAACCTGACAAAGGGAGCAATGCACAAAAACAAGGTGAAAGCAGCCACATTGAAAGAGTAGATCTACAAACACGGGATTAAAGTTCAAGATTAGGGCTGTAGGCGCAAGGGAAATGTGCTAGATCCAAGCAACTGAACGAGAAGATCAAGCAAACTACAGCATGCCAGCTTTCGACGTCAGTGAAAAAGAGCCACACAGACAAGCTTGATTGCAAGAATTGTATGGAAGAAAAGAGATTAGATGTAAGGGGACTCTCCTCAATAGAAGATGTTTAAGGATTGCAACCCCAAATTTAATGGTGTGGGTTCAAGAATGGTAGAATTTTTGGTTATAGGGGGAAAGAGGAGGGCAATAGAAGAATGCAGGATTAAGTTTTCCTATACCAAATTTGATAGTGAGGAGAAGGAATGAACTTTGCATGCAAAACTTGGAACTTGAATCTTAATATCACTCACTTGGAAACATGAATAATCACATCTTATTCATCTTCAATCCATAATATTCCAACTACAAATAAAGGGTCCATGCATATAAACTTAGGGTTATAAGAATAAGGCCAACTATTTTAAGTATATCTAATCCTATAAAATACTAACAAAGATTCAATTTTAAAACAAGTTTTATCCAAAAGAGGATACTTAACCTAATGATATCATTTAAATTTTAAAATAAGAAAATTTAGCCTATTAATAAAATTGGGCCTTAAAATACTTGAAAATAGATCCAATTTAGATCTCTTATGATCTGATTTGCCACCTAGTAATTGGCCTATAATTATAGGCATGTATTGCATTATTTGACACTAAAACCGCCATGTTATTGTTGCCAAAAGTTAAAAAAAGTGGCTATGTAGCACATCAAAAATCAGCTACATAAATGCAGTTAGGAAAATAATTAGCCAATACAGGTAAAACTAAAAGTAGAAAGGAGTATACTCATGGCCACAGAGCGTATGAGCATAGGCAAATCTTGAATCTAGTTGAACTGCACGTTGGAAATTCTTTAGCGCTGTTTCATGATCTCTTTGTAAACTGTAGCAATTACCCATAGCACACCTGCACGGATCAGCATCAAATTAATATTCCAAATAAAAATATGATGATTTACAAACATATCACTCAATTCCGAGATATTTACATATCTAACACCTAATTATCACCTTATATGTGCATGGAAAGGTGTAGTTCACATTTTAGAAATTAAAATAATGATATTTTTGGTACAGAAACAACAAGAGTAAAGTTTAGTGTTGAGGTAAAAGAAAAAAGAAAAAACATAGCAAAAATAATTAAAAATTATTAATATTTTAATCAGATTTAATTATAATTAACTGAATTAATGTTAAGTTAAATTTTGAGCCTCCTGTAGTCCTATAACTGTTCCCGCTCCAATGTCGGCTCATAACTCACGAAACCAAGCCTTTCACAGGGGCTTCCTCACTGTTTGTATCCTCCTCCTCCCTCGCTTGAGTGGAAATCTGCTTGGTGATTCTCGCGGCACAGTGGCTGGGAGGGCCGACCGAAAGCATATACGCCACGGGAATGTAACAGGGCCACACATTTTTGTGCCCAGCGAGCCCTTAGTGGTTTTTTTCTTTTGATGTTGAGAGGAAACTCTCTATCAGACTTGAAGATGACAAGTCTCTATGTTGTACATCATAGATGCATCCTTGCATAGTCATGTACCTTTTGTTGATTTTTTAATGCAAATGAATACTTTTACGAAAAAAAAGCATCTTTATTCGACTCCTCGTGTTGATCATTATCTTGATTTAATGCTTGAAAAATTGGGACAATTGCCACAACATAAATATATTTTGCTTGATAAGTAAATTTATTACAGTCATTCTTGGTTATTAAGCCTGATAAGAAAATTCAAAGATAAAGAACTAATCCAACCAGCAATTACAAGATTTGTCACAATTTACTTGACTTTGCAAAGGTTTAAAGAACTATGGCAACCTTTGGAGGCTATGTTTACTTCTAAAGTTTGGGATAAAAGTTATTTGGGACAAAAAAAATAGAAGGAAAGTAAGTAAAGAAAATTATTATGAGAGAGAATTCATTTTGACGCAATATTAGTTATGGTCTAAAGACTACAACGCCATTAGTGAAAGCATTACGAATGGTTGATGGTGAGAGGGGTTCTGCTATGGGATTTATTTATAAAGCTATGAAGAAAGCAAAGGAGATAATAAGAACATATTTAAGAGGACATGAAGCAATTTACAAAGAAATATGAGAAATCATTGATAACATATGGGATCGCCAACATTTACATGTTTTTGCATATTATTTTTCATTATGACAGATTTTCATATGGAAAAAGAGGTTAAGAACGATTTATATGCATCAATGGATAGAATTGCCCTTGAGTCTAATTATCTTAAATTCAATGATCAATTTGAAGATTTTAATAGTAAGAATAGAATATTAGGATTTAGAGCAAACTCAAGCCTCTTACAAGGCATGTTCACCTGCTTCATTTTTTTGTGATTTTAAACTTATGAGTTTATCATTTGAAAATAATATTATATCGTAATATATATTGATATTTTTATTTAATGATTTAATTTTATGCTAGAACGTTGGATGGCACGACTTGGAAATGACGTGCCTACACTCAAGCATTTGCTGTGGAAATGCTTGGTCTTACTTGTTCAAATGATGAAATTTACAAAACTACACATAGGAAAAGAAGTTTTAGGCTTTGTAGTAACTGATACATGACAATTTTTTATCAACAGCCAATGCAGAAAATTTTGAAGAATTTACATGCACTCACCATGCTTGAGGACATAATCGATCGATGGAGACTAGTTCTTGAGCAAGATAACTTAGCTTCATTTCTTCCTTCAAATGCTGAATGTTTGAGGGAAAAAAAGTCAAAATAGAGAACAATATTTAAAAATAAGAGAACACAGAAAAGGAAATCTACATACCCAGGCACATCATTCTTATGTATTTATATATCTCACACCTAAACTTTTATATTTACATGCATAGAAGTTTCGTGCTTTAAACTGCATGAAAAGGTGTATTCCACATTAAAATGTGGAAATAGTGTGATATTAAAGATTTGAGTGCTGTGTGTAAATATGAAATTTCGGGTGAGAGATATGTAAGTACATAGAATTATGTGCCATGTATGAAAATGCCCCAAACAGATATAAAATTTAATTTCTAGTAAGTTATCCAGCAGTTTTCCACGAATCAATCACTAAAATTACGATAGAACAATGTACAAACAACGAAACATGTGAAAAACCCTCTCCCTGCCTTTGGATCGACAGCAGGCAATATGATTTAGATAGGGATTTCTATTCTTCAATGGTTGTTTACATTTCTTGACTCCTATAAATTAAATTCATTAACCGTCACAATGTTGATTTTAATAGAATATGTAGGTACGCGGTTTTTCTTATTTATTTTATATTCAACAGAGATTAAAACAGTTCCGAGTGAATGAATCACTTTGTGCTTCGCATATCATGCAATAAAAAATCCGTTCTTGGCATTATGAATTGCATGTTGATAACTTTAGCTAACAAGATGGAAGGAAAAAAATTTAATAACGCCTGTCCAAACAAGTCCCAAATTCTTTGAAATAATTACTCTTTAAAGGAAGATTAATAATCCCATACAAATTAACAAACCCATTAAAGTTGACTGAGCAGCTAAAGCTTTCATGTCTTCCAATACTTTTAAATTTATAATTAAATGTTCCTGGTCAACAAAGCTGTAAACCTTCACCGCCATTTACTGTTTATCACCAACATATAATCTCTTGCATTTTTTACATTTTAAGTGTTACAATGCCATGTAATTTGTTAAAAAAATGGCAGCCACGACTTCAAAAATAGAATGGCTGTAAACGAAAAGAACTGGGCACTTGACTAAAAATCTAGTCATGTTACATTAACCAAATTACATCAAATGCATTGCATCTCCTAGAATATGCCAGAGTACAAACGATATAATTATACCAAAAAAATGTAACAAACTAATATAGGAAAACTTTAAAACTATAATAATTCCACTAGAGGCCATAAGAATCTTAAAATGTTTTCATTCTTCTAATACATAAAATATATTGCTATGAAAGGATCCCAATAATATGATAACTGAACAAATTCCCATATGTTTCATTTCTCTAATTTATAAAATATATTGCTGTGAAAGGATCTCAACATTATGATAACTGAAAGAATTCCCATTGTGGGATGAACGGAGAAAGAGAGAGAGAGAGAAAGAGAGGCTTACATATAGAACAGTCGAGTAAGCATCCATTCCCTCTAATGTGCATGGCGATAGGCGACGGGCTAAATCAAATAATCGGTCAGCCTCAAAATACTCTACCAGTTCAAAGTATAGTTTTCCTACCTGAAAGACATCCCTAAGGTATTATCTCTTCACTAAAAATCGATTAAAAGTACAAAATATGGATAGAACCAACTTAGGAAGTCAAAAAAATAAGAGCAAAAAATCAAGATTGAAAAAAATTCAAAGAAAAATACTTCTCTTTTCGTGGAATCAAATCATGACTAGAGTTCAGTCACAAGCATTCATGGACACTATGAAAATAATGGAACAACAACGTACAATAAATACGGTCTCCTGCTTTCTTACTAACCAATTTATGAAACTAGTATTCTTTTTGTTTGAGTTGGAGTATGCTTATAGTGTGGGTGGGTGGGTGTGTAAAGACAAGCAGACAAATGTATATTGGGGCATTTACACAGCCAATTTCTTAAGTATTTACATATCTAACACCCAAATTTATTTTATACATTGTCTTTCATATCACATCAAAAATACCACAATTAAAAGTTGAGAAAAAAAGTAAAATACAGCTTTTCATGCTCAAGTAAAGTGGCATTTGTGTAAAAATTTAAGTTTGTGTTAGATATGTAGATACATATGAATTGAGTGGTATGTATGTAAATCTTCCATTTAACATTTTAGGTAATCAAGCTAATTTCAATCTGACTCGAATTAATTTCAAACAAACCATCCTTGAGTCAAAGCAAAAATTAGAATTCGAGTGATTATTATATGATTTTCAAGTTTCAATCAAAATTGATAGTCCTACCCAGTTCATTCCATCCTGGTTGTAATGAAACACAATACACACAGCTACAACAGAAATCTGCTCTCGATAAAATTACCCCCTACACAGAGGAAACTATTAGGAAAACCAACTCTAAATCACCATAGAGAGGATGTCTATTGTTGAGTATACACCTAATCCACAACAAACAGAGCAAGTAAAATGCTCAGAATTAGGCGCATTGTGGTTCCTATAAAAATAATAGTACTTGGATTTGATACATGCACATATTATATGTATCAAACAACTTGAAAAGAATCCTTTAGCTTTTATTCGTAAAAATGTATAAAAATATACTTCAAAGGTATATTAGACAGTTTATACATTATACTCCTCATTATTATTAAAAGATTTCCAAGTTTAAAATAGAAAATAAAGTATGACTATACAACTATTATGTTTTAAAATTTCACCGATTGCAGTTATGTGAAATAACATTCAATGTGCAGCAACAATTAATATTTTCTAATGATATCATCAGGTTCATATTTTGACATTGAAATCAAGATAATCTACATTTAATTTTACCACCTATTGTTCTAGTTTGAAACATTATTTAAATTTTTCAAACTCTTTTAGTATGAAACTATGATAAACTTTGATCTATCTTAATTAACTTTAAATATATAATACGTATATGCTCTATAAGTATCGACATGTTTAGCATCAAGCTTTAAAAATTTAAATCAATGATAAACATAACATTCAAAAACTCATATTTCTGACAGAACACATTCTAGCTAAGATCGGCCACTGGTTTCACCACATGCACATTCTATTTATCCACATCAATCAATCCCTTCTTCAATAAACAGTGCATCATATGTTTAGCAGAAAACTAGTAATAAAGAAACTATGTTTACGCAACTTGATCAAATAGCTCCAAAATTTTAAAACAAAAAAGGGATTAAGCCCCGAGAAAATTTTTCACTATGTGCTATTGAATAATCCTTTTCTAGCTGTTACATCACTTAAATGCTTACACAACCAAACAACATAGTGTAATTGGTAGCTCAAACAAATTTTCAAAACTTTCTCTATTCCCATTATAATGTTCTTTGATGTTCATCTCATAATAATGTCCATAGTGCATGACTTATTTCCAACCACATCAAGTTCATTAATTGCAACAAAATGATTTAAATAATAAAAGATCAAATAGCCCCAACTCAAAAGTTAATCTAAACACATGCTTATGTTAGGTGATCTCCATATTCCATATCCACATCCATAATATACTTTATAATGCATGGGTATTGTTTGCCCTCATTGAATCTTTAATGGATCAAGAAAATTGCTTTCAAAATAAAAGATATATATGTAGTTCTGCTAAGCCTTTTCAAGAGCATCCATGCTACATAATGCATTATTTGCAAGTATCAAGGTCTTCTGATATAAAAGAGAATCCATGTGCTTCATAAGAGTACCAGCGAGTCCATATTGGATAATGTATCAGATCTTTTGTCCATGCAGATGGTTCATAATGTGCATAGAAAAGCCAAAATTCAGTTTTTTAATGTTTAAAAGATGACAGAAACTGCAATGACTATTAAAAATGTTACTAGAACATTAGAAGAATCCAAAGCAGATCCAGAATAAATAAATAATAACAGAACCGAAATTACCAGATGGAAAATACCTGGGATAAGACCCAACCCGTATTATACTGATGCTGTGGAAGTTTAAGATAAATTTCTAATGCATCCTGTGTAAATTTGCAAATCAAAAATTACACAATAATACAATAAGGGCAGGAATGTTTTAGTATTTCACTGTGTAATACCTGGCACCTGTATAGAAAAGAAAGCCTATAGCCTTCTCCAAGAATTCGTAAGAGGAATAATAGGTCCTTGACACCAGTTATAACCCCTGATTCATGACCTGAAGTTCCACAACTAGCAGGATGTCCTCTTTCTTGGTCAGTATTTGCACCATCGGACAGCATCGATAATGAAGATGAAGCTGCTGCAGAAGCCTGAGACCACGGAACATCAAGAGTGTCTGGTCTTCTCCCTAAATCATATAACAAGCAGCAAGTATATTAATTAATAAGAATCCCGTGAATATAGCAACGAGAAATAAGATCATTAAATGACGAAATATTGACAATAAATCAAGGCCTCTAACTGAATCAGGAAAGTTCTAATGATAAAGCTCCATATATTCTGAATAAAAAAGCTCAGATTAAAAGTTGGAGTAAAAGACCAAAATAGTCCCCTAACTATTAACAAGTGTCCAATTTAGTCCATAGATTTAGGATGCTCCAATTTAGCCCCGGACTATTAAAAGTTGCTCCAAATTGGTCCTAAATCATAATTTTTATTATATAAATTGAAGGATATTTTTGTCTTTTATGTAATTATTTATAAATATAACCCGCATAAAAATTACAATACATGTTGTTTGGCAAGATTAGGCTAAAAATTGCTTAAAACTTAATTAAATGCTGCTCAAATACAATTAGAAGCAAACATCACAAAATCTGATATCCCATTTCTCCAGCATTTTCTGCTTTTAAATTCAATTAAATAATTTATTTGCCACATATATCACGTTTTTCTTCTTCGATGAATTACTCTTCTCTATGAACTTACAGTGTCTTATTTACCTGACCGAGTCGCAACTTCTCTAGGTCGAACAGACGCAGGTCGAAGCTGACTCGCGAATGGAGACGAAGCCTTATCGTCAACACAAGCACCACAGATGGACACGGAGACGAAGATAGGAGATGGAGACTGCTCCGTCTAGTGGAGAAGCAATGAATGAGTACTCTCCTTGAGTTGCTTGCTCCGTCGATGGTAAAACAGAAGGGGAGAAGCTACGCTCCGATGGAGACGAAGCCTTGTCATCATCGCAAACAATGCAGATGGAGACAGAGGCTGCTCCGACGAGTAGAGAATTCGCCAATAAGTACGCACCTTGAGTTGCTTGCTCCGTCGATGGTGAAACAAAAAAGGTGAAGCCGCACGGGTGGAGGAACAATGAAGATTTAAGTTAAGGTGAGACAGTTTTGCGTATGAATCCTCCAGTGAGAACCAGTGAGCCCTTCATGTGTTTAATTCATAAATTTTGTAAATACATGGAATTTTCTTTCAAAATGTCAAAGGAGCTGTTAAATTAAACGAAAAATTTTATTTAGGATTAATTCGGAACAATTTTTAATAGTCGGAGACTAAGTTGAAGTGTTTTAAAACTCGAGGACTAAATTAGAGACTTTTTACTAGTCGATGGACTATTTTGAACTTTTTCTCTCAAAAGTTGCTTTATATGCCACTACCAGAAGTAGTACAATCGGGAAAGCTTAAATTAATGCAGAACAAGGCACAATATTTACAAATTTGATCATATTCCGATGCAATTATACCATTGGTTAAATCATGAATCGTGATAAGCCTTCAAGTACTTCACACGATACATAGCAGAACATCAAGTGCTTTGTCCTTTGAAGGATCCTGAACTAAAACATTCTATGCAAAAGGAAGAAGAAAATTATAGAAGAAGCATTGACCATGCTTCATAAAAAAAATTAAGGGGAATTTACATACAAAACACCCAATTCTCATGTATCTAAATATTTAACATCTAAACTTTGCTTTCTAGATTTATACCACCCAAGTCTTTAATATCACATAAAAATACCACTATTTTAACTATTAAAGTGAAAATATGAAATACATCTTTTCATGCATAAGTAAAGTGGTATATATGTAAAAAAGAGAAGTATAGGTGTTAGATATGGAATTACATAAGAATTGTGGTATGTATATAAATCTTTCAAAAATAAAACCAGCCATCAATCAAGCACAGTACAAGTTTGATCCTAATACATACCAAAAGAAAGAACAAATCATTAAATGCCCGTTGAAAGGCAGCGTCTTAGCACTAAAATGTCAACTATGAATAAACAGTATGTCAGTGACATTATCACAAGTTAATCGATGTTATTGGCATATCAGGGATGATTATACAGCAGTGACGTCCTGTTTATCACAATAGGCTGGAGTGCTGAATCTTTTTATGGTTGTCCGCTTATATATACACTATTTATCTTTAATTTTCATTTCTACTCCTCGCAAATCATGAGTTTCATCAAATGCGCAGATAGTAAAGAACTGAAATAAAGTTTAGAAAGATGACCACAGCTTAATGAGATGGGAACTCAATGTGCACATAAAATCACGCCATTTTTATTTAATAAAAATATTAATGAGTGACATCAATAATTATCAGAAAATAAACCAAAATCCATAGGTTGCGTTTCAACCTAAAACAATAACCTACTTGCGGGAGCTAACATCAAGCAACTTCACATTCAATTAACTTTCTAATCCAAATCACCAAAACAAAATTTACATCCTACCCAAGTGCCCGCTAATTCAGCAGTTTAAATAACATTAGCCTTTGAAAAGCGGATCAAGAGAAGTCTAGATGCATCATTGTTTCAGATAAACAGCCTAAACTAGGCTCCTTTTTTGTTCGACAACAATTTTAGCGTGAAGATATATGAAAAATTCAAGCTTTATAAGGAGCATGCTTGTTGAATGGAAAAAATTTTCTGTCCGGACTCCTGACCTAGCTCTACGTGCGGAATTCAATAATATGTCGTCACGTGTGCTACATCGCGAAAATTATTTCGGGGTTATTGAAGTGGAACCGCAGAGGATATTTCGGGATTATTAAAGAGAAACTCATATATTCCACTTCAATAACCCCAAACCGCGGAGGTTATTTCGGGGTTATTTTGGAATTATTGAAAAGAAACGCATATATTTCACATCAATAACCCTGAAATAATCTCCTCAGTGTTATTTCGTGATTATTGAAACGTAATACAAGGGTTTCTCTTCAATAACCTCAAATAATCCAGAAATAACTCTGAAATAACATCTGCGGTCCCACTTCAATGACTTTGAAATAACATCCACGATGCAGCACACGTGGCGGCATATTATTCGAGCCCGCACGTAGAACTACATCTGGAACCCGGACAGAAATTTTTTTTCCGCTAAATGAGGCACACATCAAAGTAGGTCTTGGAAGATATCGATACATAAAGTTTTATTGACACAGGAGTTTTCCTCCTTCCTCTTCCCTCCTTTCTCTTTTTTCCTCAATTCCTTTTTCCTTCCTTTCTTTCTTTCTTATTCTCCTTCCTAACACTTTTCTATTTTAAAACCTTTCCTAAAACTAAAATCCGATTTTTATTCTTCTTTCTTATTTTTAAATCTTTTCCTATTTTAAACGCTTCATAAAATATGAAATCATGATTATATTTTAATCTCCCTTCTTATTTTAAATATTTTCTTATTTTAAAACCTTGCCTAAATTCTGAAAACATGATTGTATTTTATTCTCATTCCTTATTTTGATTACGTAAAATAAGTCTAGCATTTTTATAAATATGGAAAGATATTCTTAGAGTTGAGGGTCTTATTTTTTATATCTGAATTAAGGTTTATATTTTTTTCCCATCGAGGGTTGTATACGACGTCGAGATAGGGCTCCAGCTAACACTTGTCCGAAGTGGTGATCGGCTTCAGTGGTACGAGTGGTGCTCCGGCTATATTTCGATCCCAATGAGGGGTTTATCTGTCATACTTTCATTTCCTTGTTGTCCTACTTCTTTCACAGCAACTCCACCACTCTGACCCTCACCCAACTGCCTCCAACCCAAATTTCAGCACTAAACCTGTTGTCCAGCCCCTCCAACTGGTTGTCCAACCCCGTAGCCCATTGTTCTGCAACCAAATCTACCGCCCAACACTCCATATTTGTTGTCTCCACCCCCGCCAGCCATCCCGATCCACCTAGCCAACCTCCACAGCCCTTGGGCTACACTTCGATGTGTATGTTTGTCTTTTCATGTTTTAGTGATGTTATTTTCAATTTGTGTGTTGTAATCTTATTTCCCCCATTAATAAAAGTTGTTTTTGTGGTTTGGGCATTTTTCTCCGATATCATTTGATATCAGAGCTAGCTCAACCCTAGTCTTATCCTAGGATTTCCTAACGAAGGTCTTACCCTCCATCGAAAAATTTTCTTTCCTACCCTGAACCACCCATTCCAAACCAATCCATAAATTCTCTCAGCTGATTTTTAAAATTAGCAATCCCGATTCAAATTTTATACACCTTCAATTAATTTCATGCACTATCTTTTCACCTCCCAACCCTAAACCTTAGTCAAGCCACTAATGAGATATATGCCTGAGCATGTTCGGGACGAGATATGACAAGAGGTCCGTAGTCTTTAGCAAAGGCCTCAGGATATTGAAGAGAAAATCCAGTAGAAGGTTACCCTTGATCATGATCTGGAAGGTCAAAGGAAAGAACGAGAAGATGTGAAGATGAAGCGGGAAACACGGCATTAGTTCTACCAACTTATTGTCGTCAAAAATTACAACTCCTAGATTCCAAAATAGAGAAACTGCAACACCAAGCGATCCCCCTGCCTACTATCTAGTGAAAGCAATCTGCAAGTCTGTCATAGCCAGAAAATATTACAAGTGTCACGGATTTAGGCAGGTGGAATCATAATGCACATCCAAGGGAGAGATCTACTTCACTGAGTATGGTGTTGTTGAAAAATTGAACAATGACACAGTTGATACGAGAGAAGTTGAAGACTTCCGGGAGGTTCTCCACTTGCAACTAGCGATGAAGAGATGTCACCAATTCTGGTGGATCTCGAGATAGAGATTCAGTTGAGGTACCAATAGTCGGTCTAGGAGATTGTGACCTCGATGTAATGAGCATTCAAGTAGAGTATGGAACTGTGGCACCTCCAGATACCGTTTCACAGGCGTTCAGAGGAGCTACAGCGGGACTGACCTTGGTGGTCCAAAAAGATCACGAGCTTGAAGAGCCGACATTAGAAACGGGGCCACCAAAGATATAAGAAATACAACTTTTTCATATGGTTAGACCTCTTTCAAAGTTATCATGTTCGAAGAGGAGTCATTTTGTGTCATGTCAAAATATTATAAGAGACTATTCAGAGATTAATTTCAGTCCAGTATGGTACTCATCACCAGATGTCCTGACAAAAGAGGTGAATCCCAACTTTGTAGTGAGCCCGAAGAGCTTAATGGGGATGAAAATTCTGCAACAGGATCGAAGACCTATTTATGGGGAAGAGGTCTCTTCTGAGGAGGTGACAGTGAGAGTGGCGTAGCTTGCCACAGATTTTATCCCATAACTGAGTTCTCCTCACATACTTATTACTCAACCATCGCACGCTAGGCACGAGAAGTGAAAGGAGAAGATTTCAAACGAAAGGGCGCGAGAGTTGCATTACGGGAACCTCCCTCTATATGCAGCTCCCGCTCAGGAAGTGCCAAAAGAGGATGGCTACCTATTCTATTAGAATATGTTGTGGAATGACTACACCGACATGAACGACCTATCAGAGAAATTATTGTCGTACCATGAGGATCCAGAAGCATCGACAAATGAGGTCGAAGCTCTCCCAACCCCGGGAGAATGACATGGGGGTTTTCCTCCTTCCTCTTCCCTCCTTTCCCTTTTTCCACCTTTCCTTTTTCTTCCTTTCCTTTTTCCTTTCTTTCTTATTTTCCTTCCAAACATTTTCCAATTTTAAAATATTTCCTAAATCCAAAATCTAATTTTTATTCTCCTTTCTTATTTTAAAATACTTTCTTATTTTAAATTCTTTCAGATTTTAAACCCATTTGAAATCATGATAATATTTTATTCTCCCTTTTTATTTTAAATATTTTCTTATTTTAAAGCATTTCTTATTTTAAATCCTTTCCTAAAATTTAAAAACGTGATTATATAGTATTATCCTTCATTAATTTTATTAACTAAAATAAGCTTAATCTCTTTATAAATATGGGATGATATGCTTAGGATTAAGGGTCTTAGTTTTGATATCTGAATTGAGGTTTTAAACTAGAGTTTTTCCCTTCGAATGTTGTATCTGATGTTGAGGTTGGGCTCCGGCTAACGCTCATTCGAAGTGGTGATCGTCTCCAATAGTACGAGTGGTGCTCCGGTTGTATCTCGATCCCGCCGAGGTATTGATCTTACCATACTTTCATTTCTCTGTTGTCATACTTCTTCCACAGCAGCTCCATCACTCTGACTCTTCCCCAACCGCCTCTCGCCCACCATCAAACCTCAAACCTGTTGTCTAGCCCCTCCAAACCGGTTCTTCAATCAAATCTACCGGCCAACACTTCATCTTTGTTGCAGCCAACCCCGCTAGTCATCCCGATCCACCTAGCCAATCTCCACCGCCCTTGGGCTACACTTCGATGTGTTTGTTTGTCTTTTCATGTTTTAGTGATGTTATTTTCAGTTTTGTGTGTTGTAATCCTATTTCTCATTAAGAAAAGTTGCTTTTGTGGTTTGTGTTTTTTCCTCCGATATCACTTATTCTTGCATAGCGAAAAGGACGTTCTAGAAGTGGAATCACTAGATCATAACGAAGCCAATGCTGATAATGTAAGGTTTCACAGAAGAATATTGAAAATGAATTATTATCTCATTCTGAAGTTAAAAGTATTAATATTGTCTATATGCTATTATCAAAATTATTCTGCTTTTCAGGCTCTTAAACAATAATTTTACTTAAGAAATGTGCTCCCAGCATCACCTTCATCAAAACTTTCAGCAGACAATTGTTGCCCCTTCCGATTTGACACAGAACGAAGAGCTGATGAGCCCATTTTAGATGAAGGAAATCCTCCTAGAAATTTTGCGGAAGAGTAATTTGTGCCATTTGCTCCAGTTTGGGAAGAATGAAGATTGACATTAGCCATTGCATCTCCAGAAAGTCTTGCACTTCTTCTGGGTCCAGAATCCGAACCAGAAAAGAGCCTCCCTGAAACCTAAAAATTAAATAAAAAGGGGTTATTACAAAAAAGAAAGGTATTTTGACTAGTAAAGGAGGATAAAATATGGAGCTAGATCACAGCATTACCTAGATAAAAGTATGGAATGAAAAGCTAGTAAAAACTAACCAAGCGATACATTTAATTTGTGTTCAACCTCACCTACTAAACTGAACGATCACCACCCAATGTCATTAGTCATAGCATTTTTGGGCATCCCCGTTTGAGAGGAAATAGCCTTTTTCTAGTCCGAATATCTCTCATTTTTAGATTATTTCCCTCATCCTTTATACTAAAAACCTTCTTCAAATAGCTTTGTCGCTTCAAATATTAAATGCATTGTTCAAGTCGTAATAAAAAAAAAATGCCATGAATCTCATGATAATTTAATGTTCACATAATAAACTTTACTTTCTTAACATGTAGATATGCAAAAAACAATAAATAGTTCTAAACATGAAGCAGTACATTCTCAATATGAATTGTTGCCTAGTACAGGCCAAGCCCTAAGTTTTCAAGTTTGTCCAGTTGCCTTGTACACAAGGCTGTAGGTGCATATATCTATGCATATTATGTATCCTTAAATCATAAGAAATGCAGCCAAAAGAAATTAAAAAGGAGATAAATTATTCAGAAAGTTGGCCAACCTTTCTAAGTTTCCCTTCATCCATGAACTTTCTTCTTGGAGCCTGAGTGGTGGCATGAGCATTAGGTTTGGAAGAAACATCTCCACCTAAAGCGTTTAAGTATGCATTTCTATACACAGGAGGTGGAACAATACCAGATAGCTGCAAAGTGAAAAAAACAATGAATTGTAGAATTCAACGACTTATGTGGTATATATATCTTGTCACACTCAACTAAGCTATATATGGCTTCTTCACCGCCCAACCCTAAAATTCAAATAGCAGAGTTCACCTAATTGAATTTTTATAAAAAAAATTATGCCGCCATGATGGTCTATCATCACATATTGTTACAAAGTTTCTAATTTAAGTCAGTTAGACTTAATTTTAAGTCATGTTTACATCTATATCCTCATTCTTACATATAAATCCGAAAATGAGGATAAAACTCGTTCAAAATGAAAGAGAATTCTCTACAGAAAGTATTTCAACAGACTATTGAATGCTGATGGGTAAGTCTGGATTTGTTGGTAGTATGAAACTAATTTCATTTGGTTGAACATAACAATATGAAGAACGCTGATGTTGAAATACTATTAAGACTATTCCAGGCATTTCACATCAAGATTCATGGAAATAAGTATTTCAAAAATAAAAAGACCAAATTATGTGAAATTCAATATTGACAAGAATGAAGAACTTCAAAAAAATTGATGGATCATCATACAAATAAATTATTCCATGTAAATTTTGACCAGAGAGGTTTAATTTTCTAATAGCCAAAAATATGAAGCTTCATACTTTCTCTGAATCAGACCATTCTGATTTTATATATTCCCTCAACTTAATCTTTATACATTCCCTTAACCTATACCAATAATATTTGAATCTGTTGGTACATAATTAAGAATAGAAATGATAATCGATTATACTCGAATATGTAACACATTAGTTGAAAATAAAGTGAAGACTCTCATAGCGCCAGGTTCAAGGGCTCACCTGGCCCGAAGAAAAAAAATGGTAACCACATTATTTCCCCCCATTTTAGTTCTAGGTTGTATAAATGATCAGCATTAATCCTGAGTCTCTTAAAATAGAAGCTAAAATAGCCCTGCTATTAAATTTGAGACTAAAATTAACAAACGGTTATAAAAATGAGGCTATTTTCTGAATTTTCATCTTAAAATCTTTACAAAATTTAATTTTTCACTTACCAAATTTGGAATATATCTAGTGATAATATTCCTAATATTTCCTGCTTCCTATTTAATACATATTAAATTTACAAATTCTAACAATTAATATTAAATATTCTACAAAATAACTCAAACTTTAAAAAAAAGTATTTATAAAATTTTATAAGAATTTCAAGCGGCAAATTCCTAAAATACTCTAAATTTTAACATTTTCTGTCAATTTTAAGTTCAATTTCAATTAATTCAAACTGCGTGTCCATTTTAGCTACTATTATAAGAGTCCATAGACTAAATCGGACATTTATATAGTCCGAGACTAGAATGGCACCTTATAAATAATCAAGCAATCAAATTGGTCCTCTTTAAAACACTTGCACCATTCTCTCATCACTAGCTTACAAATTGTGCCATTGCCAATCATTCAACCTTTACTTATTGACCAGCCTTAATATAAAAACTGTCAAAAAATTGGCCTAAACTCAAGTTTATAATCAGAATTTTCAAACGGCTTCATTTAATCATCAAAGCTAAGTTTATTCCACTCACCTTCCTCTTAATCATATAATTTTGATAAGCCAATGCACTGTTAAACTTTGAGTTAGACATTCTTATCGGTAAAAGCAACAAAGAAGTTTTATAAAAAATTTGATTATAAATCACATAATTATTAGATGATATCTGAAAAAAACTTGAAAAATTGTACCGGAACTCATACTACCTGTGTTACCGGCGGAGACGGTGTGTTATACAGTGGTAAATTAGAAGGTATACAGTTAGCTGTAGTTACTACCCCCTGAGGATAATAGGGCATATTGTTGGCAGCATGAATTTGCTTTGATTGCTTCGGACTATCCTGTGAGCCCACTGACCTACTGGAAGGAAGGTTATGATCCTCATTAGCTCCATCTATGCTCTGAGAACTTGACTCAAAGAAATACTGTGGCTGAATTCGAACAGCAATGGCATCACTAAAGCATTCATTTGCCTCTTCCGCAGCACCTGTGAGGCGGATCCGTAAGCTAAATGCGGTAAACATCAACTCTATTTCATAGCCATGTCATTCTTTAATATAAAAACCTAAACTTTCATATATATACATACATCGCACACAATTCTTATATATTTATATATCGCACACCAGAACTTTCATATTTACATACATAGCACCTGGCATTTTAAACCTATGTATGAAAAGGTGTATTTCACTTCTAAAAAGAGATATAACCGTAATAGTGTTATTTTTTACGTGATATGAAAGTATAGGTGTGAGAAAAGTAAATACATAAGAACCATGTGCTATGTATGCAAATGGCCCTAAAAGCAAATGCTCCGATGCAGACCTGCTCGCCTTGGATACAGAATGTAGCAACTTAATTACTCTTTAGAACAGAGCAGAACATAAACATACTTATGCAGACACAAGCGCACAAACAAAGAAGCATCCATAGATATAAAAGAAGCAAATGTGGTGAAGCACTCCATGCACCACATAAGCCCCAGAACGTATAACACGACTAAAAAGATGATATAAAGATTCAAATGATTGTTTTCAATGTATATGGGGATTTTCTACATATGGCAAGACTGCAATGAAATTACATGTTTTTTCACAACTCTTAATCTTTTATTACCCTCATAAGAGTTTCAAACTGATGCCTAATCCCTTTGAATGTTTACAAGCATGAAGCACCTGATTCAAAGGTGATAAACGTGACACGAAAAACCTAAACTTTGGCAAGCCAAAAATCAAGCTTGCAATCTCTATTTGGGGTCACTTTCAAGTTAGTAAAACTAATTCAAACCATTAAACAAATTCAATTTACACTGCTCATTGCCACATTCGACTTTAACTGAGCAACAGCCCAACAAAGAATAAGCATGGAAAACTAAAACATTCAGGGCTATTTACATACATGCCATACAATTCCTATGTATTTATGTATCTATCAGCTAAACTTTATGAACTCAAATCCTTCATATAACATCAAAAAATAACACTATTACTAACTTCTAAAAAATGAAATACAAATTTTCAGGTATAGGTAGAGTAGTATAAATGTAAAAATTAAAATTTTAGTGTTAGATAGGTAAATACATAGGATTTGTTTGGTATATATGTAAATCTTCCAAAAATTTAAGCAGGCCCGTATACACCTGGTTAGAGTAGAGTTGTCGGTGGTGGATAAGATAAATATGATTACAAAGCAGCCAAATTACTAAACAAGGACTACTTTCAACATTTCTATTAATCGCAAGTTCAAAGCACCTTTATTTGTCAAAGGAAAGTTAAAAGATACACACAGGATTTTTTTATGGGAAAAAAACATTTATGGCATAAATGTATAACCGAGGAAGAAAATTAGCTATGAGAATGCAAAGCAGAGCATGACGCACCGATAGGACAGCTATCAACAAAACTTTCATCCACGTCTATGTAATTGTATCTTACAGAAACTGGAATGCCCAGACAATCTGAATCATACATATATAGTTGCGGCATTACAAAATCAACTATTTGTTTCTCACAATAAACACAGATCAGAGCATGAATTACCTAGCTTCATATTCAAAAACTAAAGAAGCTATGATAAATTAACCAGCAAACATAATCTAAAATTTTGTCAAAAAATTACATAAGCGAGATATTTTTGATAATCATACTAAACATGGTGATGGAAAGTGACGCTTCATAAAAAAGCTCTTCCAAAGTCAATCCAAGTTCCGACACCTTATGCTGAATCTCAAGCCTAATTCCAATTAAAGTGAGTTGTTTATATCGATAGTACAAACATGTAATGTTATCAAAGCACAAAGCGCAATGCGATATGCAAAGCTTTATTAACCAAAGCGCTAATTTGGGTTATATAGAACTATTAATGTACAAATACATTCATTAAAAATTATAAAATATAAAGTATGACTTAAAAATTGATATAAAATAGAAAAGAATGTGGCACAATACTTGACTTGAAGGCAAATATTGAGAGTGACCCTATAAATTAATTTTTTGAATAATTTATAATAGTTTGCTGCAATAATTAAAACTTAAAACTACAACAACAAAAAAAAAATCTGTAAATGAACTTCAGCGCTTCAGCAAAGCGAAGCGGTCGCTCTTAAAGCATGCTTTTAAAAACATTGCTAACATTATAATTGACAAAACATTAACTTAATCAGAGTTTCAAAGCTAATGGAAAACATTAACCATAATGCACAAAGATCAAACATTTATGATATGTGATACTTTTTGGTAGGAAACAAAGTACTTTTCCTAAGACAGACAAGAGAACATAACTTGGAAAACATAAAAATTTAAAAAAAATTCATTCAGCACAAACATTTTTGCAAAAATCTGAAATGTGCAAAAAGAACTTCCAAGTGCATTCGGATACTTATACAACCGAGCAACATTAAACAGCTTGATTCCATAATTTATGAAACCCTACAAAAAATCTCTTACAATGTTTTACAACAGATTCATGCACTATAAAATGGATTAAAAAAACAACCATCAAGGCAACACTAAATGACAAAATAATCCACTACACCATTTAAATATGGAAAAATGATGTCAGGAAAATAAAAGCTAGAAATAAACAAAATGAATCATCCATATCAGCAAACAAAGAAAATATAAAAACTTTTAGAAACTCAAAAATACAAGAAAAAAAATCTGCCAAAAAGATTTATCAAAACATGACAACACTGACCCAGCACACACAGCTCCTCATATGCAGCCCACAAAAGAGGATCTATGGCCAAAGCCTGCATAAAGTGCTCGATAGCAAATGCCCGTCTGCTTGTGCACCTAAATAAATTGAATAAATAACGATGTCATGTAAACTAATTAAAAAACAAAAGAATAATCAAATTCAATTCTTGTAGATCTCAAAAGAATAATCAAACCCAGCCCACAATGGTTTACAACCAAGATCAGGAAGGAAAGAGAGTTGAAGAGAGTAATATTACCCTTCTTTGTACAGAAGGAAAGTAAAGTAAACAATTGAATGATAAATTAGAAAGCTAATGAAGACTAAGGCATCAAAAGACAGGCATTATAAATGCAACATTAGAAGAAGTGTAAAATTGAAATGTTAGCATGTTTGTGAGTACATATTTATTCATGTCTACAAATGAATGTATAGGGATTTTTTACGCATGAAAAACTAAAAACTTAGACTAAACCAGATTTCTCCCAAACTAAAGCATGCCTACATAACATCGAATTCCAGCATATATGGCCATCTACACCAAACACGGCTCATAGATCCTACATCTCTCTCTCTCTCTCCCCCTCTCCCTCTCTTTCCTAGATACTTCAAATACTAGCAACATCTCTGTATTATCAAGGAGTTTAAACAAAAATATAACCTGTAAATGAGTCCAAGAAGATAGTGACCAGCTGCACCATTTGGAACCTGATAAATTGTTTAAAAAAAAAAAATTGAATTATCCTTTTAAAACAAAATAATTATAATCATGTGAAAATCAGAGATCAAAGCAGACATTGCATTGAGTTATTGTGGGTTCTACACTAGTGTCTCTTCATTAGCAAAAGGAAGAAATACCAAAAAAGCCTGTTAGAATAAACTTCAACAAACAAAAGGAATATATATGGTCAGAGCATGCTTTACGAGTCAAACTTAACAAACACAGCTACTATTTGAAAAAGTTATATACATACAAGATTTTAGAAATTGCATTCACTTATCTTGAAATGGCCTTAAATAAATTCATTAAATACCGACTCTAAACATGATTATCACCATGACCTTAAAGGTAGGCCATCTGGAAAAGTTATTTCTAACTTAAATAGCCTATTTTATGAAACACAATAGAATGAGAGTGGATGTTATTTTAGAATACAATCACCAGACTCAAGTCAAAAACCATCCAATAAATCCTAATTTGATGTTTTCTGGTCACCAAATTAATTGGAGATGTTTGCAATGTTCCTGAGAAATCACTAACTCAAGTCACACAATTTAACGTAATTGTTAAAAGAAGCCAACATTGGTTGATTATGATGTCACTTACAAGAAATGCAAACCAAAAAATTCAATAAGAAGATAATAGATTAAACCTAAATTAAATTGATCGGTAATAACATAGCCAGTTTCTTTAATAGGAAAATCAAATTCATGACTAACGGAAGAAGATAAAAGAATAAAAGCTAAAAATCATGTGGATATCATAAATCAAGTTGATTTGAAACCCAAAAAACCAATTATGAAGTGACATTTGCATGCTATATTACAATGAATGTGGCAAAATTTGGCAAAATAGGATAAAAATTAGTATAAGGGGCTTCCAGCATTTATAATAGAGGGAAGAAGTAGCTCAAAAAGCGCATAGAAAGAAATAATCAGATGAAGATAGAAAATAAAAAGGGGGACCAAAGGAAACATAGCTACAAATAGCCTAAGGAACTAGCATAGACAACGATTAGCACCTGATATGACACTCAAAAAAATAAGAAGGGAAAATGAGATTCATAAAGTTAATTTCGAAGTAGTCTGATAAGTTTAAATGATATTGATGGCGCTCAAACTTCTTTGCAAGTAACAAGGTAATAAATACATAAATTTTCACTTCTTAATTCATAAGGCCAACGGCAGTGATACTTATTCATCCACTTCTTCAATCATAAGGCCCAAGGTATTGATACTAAATCAGTTATCAAGGCCTGCTTTCTACGAACCCCTACTGATTTTCAAAATTCAGCATTCATAACTAGGAAAAAAAACGTAAAAGCCAAATGAAGCAGAAACAGATAAGGACGATGTCTCTTGTTCACCATATAGTACCTACCTTAAATATTTAGTTTCTTAAGAAACAAAAAAAGGGATGACAATTGCAGAAAAAATTGAAAGCTGATGAGAATTTTTTCTTGAAAAAAAATGATCAGGCTGTAACACAGAATGTGTCGGTTATAATTCAGTAGTCCTGTAACCGCTACAGAAAGTGTTTTGTTTACACACTGCAATGTCTTAAAATTCAGCTTTATTTCCTCCATAAAAAAAATAAAAAATAAACTTAATGGAAAGAGCATTGAGTGGAAAGAAGTGGCTTTAAATACTAAATGTGCTTTGGTTCAATTTTTCTGTTGCAGATTGGCTCGTCTACCGGAACATGCAGTGAATTCTTAATGTTTAAATTACTGGCATTGAATAATAAATGAGATTTTTTAGACAAAAGTTAAGGAGCATGCGGAGAAAATTATAAGGCAACTTCACTGGAAAAGCCCACATTACCTCGGAGTTTGGTTCATTGGCTGGGCACAGAGATGCTTCCGCTTCCCTCAGAAGATTCATTTGGAAGCATGATAGTGCGAACAAATAGCGTGATACAGCCATCTGCTTCCCTTCACACGAAGACCAAAAAAAAGAAGGTCTGCATCAGTTCCATTTCACAGCATAGTAAAGTTTCTGTAAGAAAAAAGAAAGAAAATAAAGTATGACCAGCTAAAAAACAAAAACAAAAACAAACGTCATATTTGAAAAATCAAATAGCATGGGTCCAAGATCATATCTACAAAAGTAGCATCATTTGAATAGTTCAGGAGTGGTGAAGTTTCATTTCATCTCTTACACGCCAAAGTAATTGAGGTTGCAATGGTCTACAATATGTTAGAACCCGATAAAGCTCTAATCACATGCATGCTATTACTTGAAAATGCACAAGAAGGAGATGAGAGTATTGTTAATATGAAGATTCCAAAGCAAAGTTGCAAATATGGAGACAGAACACCATAGTGGACAAAGCGAGGTTGGGAAGATAAGAGACTATCGAAATTGTTAATAATAGGCGTAAGAAGTTAGGTGACATTAGAAAACTCTCATAAATACAACTTTCAAGTATAAGTTTGGAAACCAAGTCTCAATATTTGGCTCCTGAGAGGTGATTCATTTATAAGATTTAATGTAGTCCTACTACTCTATCCATGAAAATTTTGGGCTCCCGAGCAGAGGTGCAGCCCTACCACTCGGCTCATGACTATTGGGTCTTCCCTCATTCAAAACAGTTGCCATCAAGACTAAATTACTCTATTAATGATTCAATGATGGTCATATTGTAGTTACCTAGTACTCGCCACAACACTGCCTGGGAATTAGTAAAGTCGTTGCAACTTTCTACCAGCCCTCACAACCTAGCTAACTTACTACAACAAAAGCGAAAGAGATTTTCCATGTGTAGCTTTCACGTTTTACTCGAAGATCTAAGTATGCAACTTATCTCAGCACTAGCATCTCGTAGAACTCCTTTAATGGTCTGATACTAGACCTGAATGACTCAATTCAACTCCTAAGAGCCAACTTGTCATCATGATCTATATTAAAATGTGAACAAAGCACATGTAACCATTGAGATTCCATTAACACCAAAGGTACAAAACAAGTGACATGCAAACCACCAAAATGATCGACAAGCAGCTCCCATCTTTGTCCTATTATAACCTTTATAATCATGTGTTGCTAATTTTGTTCATCTGAGAAAAAAATTATCATTTTGTTATCTTGCTTCCATTGCCACGCTCCTAGACATGCAATATAAGATTTCATAAAGATTAAAATTTGAAAGTTCCTAACATCTATGTTTTAAGAGGCACTGGGATTCAACTAGGTTAATAAATTGGTTTTTTATTCATCTAATCAGCAAGGATAGTAGGAGAACGTCAGTGGCCCTTTATATTCCTGATTTGGCCTCCAATGTTTCGAAGGAGAACTCAGTACTTAAGATTATTACATTTGTTCTTTTAGCGAGAGTTCTCCAAAATCCTACTCCATGCTTGCTCGTAATCACAATCATGTTTAATTATGCTACAAAAATTAGGAGAAATGTCTTATCAAGTGCTCCGGCCATAGTTCATGGCATCTATAACTTAAAATAACTATAGAAAGTTAGGGTTGAATATTAGATGTTCAGTAATAGTGCATACATTAGACTTTATACTTCTGAAACACAATTTACTCATCAATTTCTGAAGTCAAGTTGGCCAAAGAAAATGAGAAAAACACAAATAAGCTGACTCAAATCTTACAGACAGAGATAAAAAAAATAAAATTACTCCATAATGTGATTGCTATAGATAAAATATTTAAATTGACTGCATTAATTTATCCTATGTGATGCCCTCATCTCCAACCGTAGGAACAAACTGAAGGGCAATGGGAAGTACGAGACTAAGGTCATCATGGATTGTGATAACCCAAGACTACCGAGAATCTTATTATTAGGTGAAGATTCTTCACTGCCCTAAGCCATTAAAAAACGATCAATCAAAGATATATCATAAACAAATGGTATTCAAATGAAAAGGCGGACAATCATGAAAGGTTGCATCAAACAATCATCAACCCAAGGGATCAAAATGAAATAAACTTTGTCAATCCACATCGATCTCCAATGAAGCAATGAGAGGGCCACTCTTAGGCCTTAAAATTGTCTTCAATGCCCGCCATCTCAAGGGTATAGTAAAAATTGATCATAATTGAACTTATACTATCAATCAAGATTCAGCCTAATTAATGGCTGGTGATAAGTAACTTTCCATTGTAACATCATTGTAAGAGTTACCGATAAGTAGCTAATAATCATCACAAAAGATGATTAGATCATTAGAGAATTAAAATGAGCATTTTGCATGAGGAAGACTTCTCCTAGTTACAACCATTAAAGGTTGGATAGGGTGATTGCTTTGCTTCCTCTGCCGCCTAAAAAAGAATATTATATAGAATCATTCTTGGTATTTTTGCAAGTTTGCAATTAAGGTCAATGCCTTCTCTAGATTCCATTCAACATTGGTATGAAAAAGTTTCTTCAACTTTCCAGTGTATAACAAATCCTTGAGAAAATTGTTTACAATAATTCTTAATATAATGATTGTCCTTTAGAATGCTCACAGTCTCAAATCTATTCAAATGCTTCCTAAGTAGAGTTGAAGGATAAACAAGACAATAATATTTAATAGAAGGAGGATTGTATTTATTTTCTAGCAGAGAACTTTAATTAGGTTGCTTATCGGAGCTTCTCTGCAACAATCATCCAGCAAGTTGGCCTATGTGCTTAGGATTGTTGGGCTCCTTAGCCAAACTTCTACCAAAGTTTGCGTATGATTGGCCTTCTCACAAAGTTGGGCAAAAATAACATGTATCATCAAGATGAGGGAAGCATGGAATTTCCCAGCTTGTGCAATCATGAAGGCAGTCTATGACACTACAAGGTGAAGATTCCAGATCTCAATTATGTCCTTGTTGAACCAAAAATACAATAGCAAAGAAAATAAATGATACCATCTAGGGATGTAATTAAGTCGAGTCGGCTCGTGAGCTGAGCCGACTCGATCACAGCTCGTTAACGAGCTCACCATCAGAGCTTAATGAGCAAGAGCTCAAGCACATCCCAACTCAGTTTGCTTGCTCGCAAGCCAGCTAGATTACCATACCGCTAGTCATTACATTTTCCAGTGAGTTGTTGTATCCTACTCCTCTGGCCACCAATAAATTCTCCGGTGCGCTCCGGTAAAAATTGAAACTTTAGTTCAAGCTCGCGAACCAGCTGCTGCCACTATGAGTTGAACTCGAGCTCGACTCGACTCATTTACACCCCAAATACCATTCTTCAAATGGGGATGATTCTATGAATCCTTTCTCGGATGTTAAAAAGTTTTCAAATGGTGCAAGAAATTCATGCAAAACTTGTAAAACAAATTGATTCTTGCACGTAGAAAACACGTAAACAAACACAAAAAATAATATTAAGGCTACAAAAAATCGATACACTTAATAAGCAACTCCAAACCCAGCACAATTAAAGCCTATTTATAATCATTTAATTAACTAAATCAACAAGTCAAAATACTTAAATGCTTAACTCGTTTATGATCATGAACAATACCATATAAAATTTATGAAGAAGCATGCTAAGAAGCTCAATTAGATTTGATGCAAGACATTATAAATTTTACTAGGTCTATGGCAAAGTAATTATTATTTTAACAATGTTTATTTTATAGAATTTAAGACCACGCTAATTCATGTGTGTTTGTGGATGTGATGTTTACTTCTAGTTGTATTTTGTATTAAGTATTATGTGATAGTTCACGAGTTTAGAAGGCATAATTCAAACTCCAAGAGCATTATGAAGCAAGAAAATTACAGGGAAGATAGTGAAGAAGATAGGCTTGAAAGATGGTTGAATCTAGCCTCGGTTATGGGATGTCTTTAAGGAAATAGTGACTTAGAGGGCCATTATAGATGCATGCACGAGATTGTGGACAACTAGGGAAGAATTAAAATGCCACATTAGCCAACCAATTGACTACCTCACCCCACTCTCCTCAAAAATAGGGGCCAACCACACTAGCCAAGCAGCTACTCCAACTATCACAATATATGGGAAAAAAACTCCCTCCTTTTAGAAAATTTTGAAAGACAAAGATCAATGCTCATATGAAAAGATTTAAACCTGTAGAATTTAATACAATAGATTTTTTATGTAATTTTTTAAATAAATTTTGAGTCTTTGGTACAAAAAATTCCTCTTGGAGCTTGGTGGGCGCGAGATACTTTGGTGGGATTTTTTTATTCTGCAACTTGTTTCTCTCTTTTATAAGTATTGATTAAACTGAATGCAAAACACTCTCTACATCAGCCTTAATATTCCAATGTCAATCCCTAACCTTTTATTTGAGAAAAGTAAAATATGAACTTAACAAAATCAAACTAAACTAGGCTAACCATAGTTCATATTGATCTGACCCTCTATTGATCAACTAAAATCACTTGAAAAGTTCCACAAAATTCCATATATAATCTGCAAACAATCATTGACAATCTCCAAGTGATTTTAAGTTCAAAGGCATTCCTACTTGAAAATCCTCATAGTTCAAAATCATTCTACATAAAGTCTAACCTAAACTAGATTTAAAGGACCTAGTCTTGATTTTAGCTTCATCAATCCAATAAAAAATCCTTAGAAATTCTACCTAACTCCAAATCAATCCTTTAAACATTCCTCCACCATCTCTAAGTATTTTAAAATCCATTAATTCTTCGAAAAATAAACCCTAGCCTCGCCAAAATGCTCCAATATACACTCGGCCAAATAGAGTTAACCATGCTTAGCCTACACTAGCACATTCTATACAAAACCAAGTCTCTCCAAAAACCTAGGGTTCCTAAGGTAAGTTGGAACACATCCACAACAATTATAAGCCCTTAGAAGTATTTAGTTCCAAGACTGCATCATAATTAAGGGTCGACAATATGCCCATTTAAAACTCGATAATTAAGAAGTTGTTGAAAAGTCTTGTTAGATTAAATAAGAATTTGTTCAATATTTATTAATATTAAGTTTGATGAGGCTCATTTGATTAGCAAAAACCTACTTGATAGTTTTATTTATCAATAGTCTCAATAAAGCTCATTTGTTAGCTAACAAATAGCTCAAAAATATTATTAGTTTAGTGGCTCTATAAGGCTCATTTATTTGACCAAATGATCTACTCAATAATCAAATTTAAATTTAACTCAAGTAAAGCTCAGCCCAAGCTCAAAAAAACCATGATTTTGAAGCGGTTGAGCTCAAACAATATCACATGCACACAAATCAGGCTTATGTTGAGCTCATATAGGGTTTCAACAAACAATCTAGAATTCAAGCAAGCTCATGCTTGATTTAATTTGGTTCATTTGCAATACTAAACAACATTGAAAACATTTCCGACCGAACGACATGATGGCATTAATTTCATACAGTCCATGGGAAGTTGTTATGTTTATAGCTCAATTTACAGCATCTTATAAATAAAAGGGAGTGATCCCTACATGACATTGAGATTGAAAATGAAGGGGACTGATCCCTACATGACCTTGAGATTGAAGATAGGGGACCCCATCTTATTATTTTTCCCCAACAGAAACAAAAAATATCTCCATATTCTTCAGTGAGAGGACTATGTACACAAAAATGAAAGGAGAATTGTGGCTTCGCATGAGCTCGGAGTAGGGAGTTGGAGGAAGTTATTGCATTGTGCTTGAAAAATGGTAAAACTCCATTGTTAGGAGGGGTGTCATCATGCATGTACCATCTAGCCAAATCACTTCTCCATTTGGCATATATTGTTCATCATGATGTACTAAGATCGGTGTTATTTTTGTAAGGATTGGCCCTCAAAGGCCAAGGTTTGGCCCACATCTTGATCAAAATACTCGTTTTCCTCACATGGGCAGTGAATTCTCACTCACCGCACTAAAAATGTAGGAGTCAATTAAGTTCCTACGATCTGTATGATCGCTAGAGACTCGCACAAGATCAAGGTCAAGAGGATGATGATGAGAGAGGTGATGGAGAAGTGGATGTAAACAATCTGGTAATGTAGCAAAATCATTCAAACGTAAATGATAGATGCATCACATTGACTGAGCAAAATACCAAAAAAAAATGAGCACCTACCTTTAAGAACATGGTAAGCGCAATAAGGCTGGTTATTCCTCAGATAACAAGTTGCCATCAGTTGCAAGTTCAGCTGCATTCAAGAGATCAAAATTCAATTAATTAAGCATAGAACAGAACATAAAGTTAAAACAGCAACCCCATAGCTAGCATAGAAAAGAAAAAAACAGAACCATTAAAAAACAAACAAATTTAAAATTCCTAAAAGAAAAAAATTCATTATCTTCTTCATTAGCGGTATCGCAAACACAAATATAATAGCTCACACATCAATACCGTTTTTTCATAAGGAACAAGACATTACAAGGAAGGTCTCTCAAACATCCAAATGAATAACTCAAATATAACCAACGAATCAAACGAGCTATAATGCAGCGGCACAGATGAAAGGAGTAGAATGCCCGAGGAAGCGAAGAGCAGATCAGCGGTTCGTAAGAAAGAAAGAGAAGGGATCACGAACAAAAAAAAAAGTAACCTCTGTGGGAAACTCGGCGCATAAGCGTTCGCAAAGAAAGATGGCGTTCCGGTGCATGAATTGACTCAGGCTGCTCTGTACTCGGTCCACCATTAGGGTTTCCATGACCGGTTATCCCTCTCGGCACAAACTCGCCAACTCTCTTCTTCGCCTCTGTAATCTAGGGTTCTGCGCTGAGGACGGAGGTCGGGCTGGCGGTGAGGAGGGAGAAAGTGTGAAATGCGCTCTGTGGGTATTTTAGGAATTTTAGCTTCGCCAGAATTTGAAACGATATGGAGGACTCTGGACCGTTGGATGGTGATGAGATGATTTGGACATCATGGCCGTTCGATTGATTGCACTCAACTGACTGGTGGCCAAACTTTTAAATGAGCACCAGTAATAATTTTAATCAGGATTAGAGACTCGCAGGGAAAGGAATTAGCAAAAGGAGCATATTCTCAACCCTTGTGTTTCATATAAAAGTCACTTTATTTGTGTTTAAGAGCCTTTTTGGGGCTACGACAGAGCTGTGGCGCGTCATTGAGACGCAATTAAGGTTGTTTGGCGACTAGAGGAGCCTTAACTTCTTAAAAAATGCTAAATAAAATGCGGTTACGGACATGCCCCTACAGCACACATTCCTTCCTTCTTTGTGACCTTATTACCCCTCTCCTTACCATCGCGGTTCGCTTTCTCGTCTTGCCCTAGTGATGTGCTCCTCTCCTGCGAACCTGTCTGTCTCACGATGACTGCTTTAAACTCTTCTCTCTCTCACGTATGATTTTCACAGATATGGTTGTCTCTCTCTCTCGCTCGATTCTCACTGATAAGGTGAGTTCTCTTCTCTCTCTCGCTCGTGATTCTCACAAATAGGGTTCCTCTGTGCAGTGTCTTCTTGTTGGGGTGTCCTCTTACTGTGGTGCCTTTTTGTTGTGTGGTGTCTTCTTGATGTGATGCCTCTTGTTGTGTGGTGTCTTCTTGTTATGGTGTCTTCTTATTTGTGTGGTGCATTGTTCTCTGTGTGGTGCCTTATTATCTGTTTGGTGGTTCCTATGTGTTGTGGTGCATCTTCTTATTTGGTAATCCTTACGTTAACAATGCTATTATTTTTGTTTATGGAAACGCCTATATGGCTGAAAATTTTGTGGATGTGGCTTTGTGCGGTTCTTCTTTTTCAATGCTCGGTAATATGTACCCTGATTGGCTTTTGATTTTCCAAAAGGATTTTAATGCCCGAGTATTTTGTTTTGGAAATTCTCATTCTTCTTGTTGGATAATATGTACCCTAACATATATGTGGCTTTTGATTTTGCAAAAGGCTTATAATGGCCGAGAAAATGGTGGTTTCCTTTGTGCAGTGGTTCCTCATCCCGTTGGTTAATGCATATTGTGCTCAATAATTTTGTGGTTTTTAATTTGGCAATTGCTTATGGTTAATTGGTTTTTGGTTGATGTTGAAATTTGAGAAAATTTGAGAATCTCATGTGTGATGATTGGAAATGGGTGTTGGTTTTTGGTTGATGTTGGACTTCGATTTTATGCTTGATCTTTTACGTTCTTGATTGGTAAAATCCATGTTGGCTTCAAATGCACGTTTGATGGCTTTTAATCACGTGCAAAGGGCTGTCTTTAGGTTGATAACGGATTATGTACATTTGGTTGATGTTGGCATATGATGTTTATGTGGTGGATATGGGGTTGGATGTGTTTGGGTTGAAGGACGTGGATGTGGTGGCGAAGAGTGGTTGGTGTGTGGAAGTGAAGGTGGCGGAGGTGGTGTTTGTGTGTGGATGAGGTGGATGTGTTTGGAGGAGATGATTTAGTATATGTGTGGTTGTGGATGTGTTGGTGATGATGGATGTGTGTGCATGGGTGAGGTGGTGGTGGGTATTTTTGGTGTGGTTGCAGATGTGTTGGTGATGGTGGATGTGTTTGGAGGTGATGATTATAAGGTTGTGTATGTGTTGGTTAGTGTGTTTGTGTGTGGAGTTTTGGTGTGTAGAGGTAGTTGAGTCTCCACATGTTGGTCATAGTCATCTCAACTAAATCATGAGGACTTGGGACCACCCATATGTGTCTTCAAAAAGAGTAAAAAAATGCCTTGAATTTCTAGGTGGGGTGGGAATCCACACTAATTCCTTATGATAGTCAGCAAGAAAGTTCTTTGATTAGATCCTAAGTTTTAGAAGAAAGAATTTAGACCTCGCAAAAAATGAGGTCAAGAGCGCCTTCTAAGTCTCATAGTCTTCTAAGGTCTTTGACTTACGTGTGTCTTCCGAGACTTGTAGCCTTATAAGGTCTTTGATGTTACTGTACATCTTGAGGCTTGTAGCCTTCTGAGGTTTTTGAGTGGTGACTCTATCAATCACTTGCTCTCTTGGAGTCTTTTAAGTGAGGACCCTGTCCACTACTAGCTTCCCATTGAGACTATCTCTCGGGCTTATCTTCCAGAAGTACTATTTCTTCTTATCGAGTCTTGCATCTTGAGCTCAACTTTTAAGGGCATGGTAGTTTCCCATCGAGTCTTGCCTCTTGGGCTCAACTTCCAAGGGTATCGTATTTTTCCATCTAGTCTTGCCTCCTGAGATCGACTTCCAAGGGCATGGTAGCTTCCCATCATGTCTTGTCTCTTGGGTTTGACTTCCAGAAGTATTGTATCTTCTCACAAGTCTTACATTTTTTGCCTGACTTTCAGGAGTAAGAATGAAAAACTTGTCTGCCACTATGAATGTTCGAACTTTCTCATGTTATTAGTCGAAGTGCATCTATTTGATGACTGTAGCCTGTGTTGGAACAGAGTTGAAAAGGAGGATCCATTAAAGATGTAAGACTCATTTTAGGTTGTATAACCTGAGATGCTTGACAACACTAACCCGTAACGGACAAAGTCATATGAAATTCACTAATGATGGTTGACCTATTCAAAGTTGTTTGTTGAAGCTATTGTTTGACGACCGTAACCTGTTATGGAAGAGTTCAAATGAATCCGCCAATTTTTTTACTTATTTGAGGCCGTTAGTCGAAGCTTTTGTTTGAAGACTGTAGCCTATGGTGGAAGAGGTCGAATCGAGTCCCTTTAAGCCTAGAATGATGTGTCAGAGATGTCATACTTTTCTCGAGATTAGGATGTGGGTCGCAATGGAGCATATTTTTTCTTGAAAATATGGTTGCATGTGCACTCAATAAGAATGTTCTACAACTTTCCAGTTGCGGCTTCTGAATCGTTTTCCCCCCAGCGGAGGCGTTTTCCACACAAACTTGTTAAGCAACCCATGTACCAAACCTTGAAGAGATCAATTTCTTGATATGGTTGAAGAGGAACTACAGTACAATGAGGGGGCATCAAGAAAGCATTATTTGTGATGAATATTGACCCAGGTGTAGGAGAAGTTTTCAAAGACCCATTGTTTGAACAAAATGTGGGAAGACTAACCTACCACAGTCGTACTTGGGATGTGAATGTGAACGACCTTTTGAGACTGCAGTGAAGCTTTTCCCCCGACCTAAAAGATGATGTGAAAGACTTTATGTATAAATATGATGTGAGAAGGCTACCTCAATATAATTGTGCTTGGGACGTTAACGTGAACGACATTTCAAAACTACAGTGAAGGTTGTCTTCCACATCGAAGAGTGCTTCAGAATGATCTTCAAGATGTAATGGAGGTTTCTTCGTCAGCTAAAAACAATGTCGAATGAGACTCCGCTTCCAACTAACCTGTCATACTGATGCATGCTAAAAAATTCAATGGGTAGAGTGATGGATTATCGTCCTAGCTTTGGTAGAATATTCAATACACACTCAGATAAAATAAAACAACAAGTAGAGACACCAGAAATTTTTATATGGAAAACCGTAAAGAGAAAAAACTAAGTGGTCTAACTCAGTTTTAAAAATTCACTATAAGTTAATGATTACAGTGATCACTTCTCCCATGAGTGGGAAAGGCTTAGAAGATCTCCCAAGTTACAATGTTGACGTGCGGATAAATTTGTTGTAAGGAATGAGTAGCGACTGATAGCAATCAGTGATGACCGAAAGGTTGTGGTCGACTGTGGTCGGTGGTTGTTGACGGTGCGGTGATCGACAGAAGTTGGCGTTAATCGACAATGGCCGAAGTGGTGCTAGTCGTTATCTCCTTCTGAAAGCTTCAAGCTTTTCTTTAAGTCTCAAACTTAACCCCCCCCCCCCCCCCCCCCCCCCCCCCCCCCGAGAGGGTGGTGCTCTATTTATAGAATTTTAGGTGCAATTAATATATGAATATGAACCATTTTGATTAGATGACATTTGACGGACATTTGAGTGTCTTAAGAATCTGAGAATTGAGCGATCTCGGGTTTTTTTTCATTCGGCTTATAAAGACGTCAGATTGGATTATAAACTCGTCAGATCAAACATTTGTTTGATCTTAAAAAAAATGCTCATAAAGCTTCCAACATTTGTTCTATGGCTTGATCTGAGCTTGATTTGACTCAGATTAGAGCAATTTTAGTATCATTTGGTTCGTCTCGTGAAGTCAGTCAGTTCGACTATATGTTTACTGAAATCAGAGCTCTTAATGATGCTTAATCAAATTTTGAACATTCTTTGCTCAACAAGTTGATTCGAGATCCGTGATGTCTCAAAATACGTGTTGGAGGATAAAAATTTATTGAGGACTTATCATACGTAAAAACTAAAATTTAGAAGTTATCATACGTAAAAATTAAAATTTAGAAGTTAAAAACGTAAATGCCTAACAAATGAGAGGTATTTATCTTTTTTTAACCATCTAGAAATCTGCTTCAAAAGTCAATCAAAATTAATGTTTCAAAATTTTTCTTGATGTTCGGTCACAATTTCAATTGCCGTCTACATGCTCTATTATTGACATCAATCTATAAAATGTGAAAAATATAGATTTTATTTTCACATCAATGGATATACATATCATATTTTTTTTGTAAAGTTATATATTTAATGTCATAATTTTAATTATGTTAATTCATATAACATACTTTTGTGTTAATAATTTTAAAATATATACAAGATTTAACAAGAAAATGTGTATTTTTTTAAAATAAATTATTATTAGTGCTATTTTTTTCCGTGATATTAAATATAAATGTTGGGAGGCATTTAAATGCATACCCCACAATTTTCATATATTCACACACACACACACACACACACACACACACACACACACACACACACACACACACACAGCTATATAAAAAAAAAGAGACACACACA